CATCTGTGGCGCTCTCTCGCCCTCATACTCTCCTCTCCGCGCTTAGTCTCTCATTCCTTAGCACAGCCGATTAGGAAGGTGAGTGAGCCCTTAACCTTAGCTTTTTTTCTTTTTTCTTTACTTCCGGTCCATTTCGCACCGATGCATTCGCACTCGTGTTCAAGGGGGTTTACCAGTGGAATCAATTGTTTTAAGATCACTCCTTACTCACATATCAAGGGGATTGACTAACAGTCATTTCATGCCACTTCTCAAGAGAATCGGTGCCATCCAGTGACAAACTCCAACTCATCTGCTGCTTCACACGTCTTCCGTTTTCAGATCATTTTTAAGGTTGGCTTTTCATTAGCTAGGAAATAAAATTGAGACGTTGAACTCAAACACTGTCGAGCTTCCAAATGATTTTACCTATGATGATCGAGAAATCAAGTTCATATAAGTCGCGAGTCTGCTGCGTCGCGAATTTCCTTTGTTGGCACTTGGAAAACGGTCGCCATACTTCTATGTTACTGTAGCCCAAAAATGTTTCTGTATGCTGCACACGGTTTTTGTAGTGAACAGCGTCGTGGCGATAATTAGTCCTTCGCTTTTATGCAAAAGGAGCATAATTCCAAATCGCACTTACCTGGCGGGAAATTCCTCCTTTTCCAGTAGAATTGGTAGAAAATGAATAGAATCAGAATAGCAATGACGAATTGTATCATATTTTCCAGTACTGGAAACAATTTAGAGAAAACTCAGTATCTTTCGGTTTTGAGCACACGCTAGGACGTTCTGAAGTTGGCTGGAGGAAACAGGTTTATGATGCTCTCGCATTAGTGACAAGAATTTTATTGACAGCGTAACTCATTAAGATCTCGTTTTTGCCGTGACTCAACAACAACCCCAGATGAGGTCGTGTCGAAGAATCTATTCTGTGGGTGGGATAGAGTAGCCCACGAGTATCACAGATGTGCCGTTGTCGCGGCTCGAAAGTGCGCGACAATGGCGCTAGGGCCTTACAAAGTGATCTGATGGCGACTAATGTGAACTTATGGACGAGATACCTCGCGCACACCCCATGACACGCAACGTGGATTACGACGTAGCGGCTAATTCAAATACGCGCGGGTTAGTGGAGCCGTGGAGCAAGCAAGTCCAGACAACTCGTATGGAACCCCTTCCCAATTTCTAGGAGGAAGAGGGGAAGTTGTTGTCGTTGTTTATGACTTTATCGCGGTTTACTGCTTCTTTTTCATTCGCTCAGTTCGCCGTCCACAATTTCACTACCAATCGCTGTAACCCCACCAAACTGATCTGGGGTTGTCTTCAAGTTCTGTTAAAATATTCACGCCGGCATCCCATATGGACTGCCAAGAAAGAGTGCTCGTGAGACGGTGGCACTCATATGACCTGACAGTTAGTAATCACATGATCATACCATAAGGTAAGTGAATATCTGTGATATCAGTGTAACCAGGACTAATGGACAACTTTAAACGATAAGGTCCAAGGAAAGCACAGATATGCTTCGTTTAAAAAGGGATTTTCTCAACCCCACAAGAACTTTTGCTTCAGTTTACTCTTCGTTTTCTTTCTTTTT